AATTCATCATTCAGGTAAAACAATTTTAAAGGGCCACAATAATTATTCACGTGGGTAAAGACAAGGCTGCAAGGATCTTTCTGCGCACTAATTACATCTGTGTCACCAATGCTCGTGCCAGGGGACTTTTCTTTTTCAGACTTTAGTGAAGTTCGGTGAGTAACTGAGTGCGTTTGTTGTTTCTGTGTGCCAAATCAGACACAGAAATATTAAAAGAAAGAAAAAACAGCCACACAGTATGAAATTTAATATAAAATCATCACGGCTTTTGCTTTCCCATTTTCAGAAGTTGACTGTTGTCACCACTGTCAGCACAAACATACCTCAGCAGCCTAGCTCTGCATTTACAGGAAAACAAAAAGGATTATTTTTTTTTTCTAATAATTGACAATAGTTTCTTTAAATGTGGGTCACTGGGCAAGGCGCACTTAATGCATTTCAAGCTGATTACTGTTTTCGCGCTTATGATGCATAAAGTTGTACTCAGTGTCGAGAAATGAAAGCCCTCCTACACGAACACATCCTAACTTCAGTCTCTGTTCTTTCCACTAAGTCAGGCAAGAAACTCCAAGCTTCTCCCCAAACTTTGTGCATGCGATGGAGCTGTAGAGATGGCACGAAAACAAGTTACTCTGAGTCCACAGAGAAGAACCCAAAGAAATCCTCCCTGCAACTCAGTGGACAGGAGGGAAAACACCCTGGGAGGAAGAATGTACATCTGACTCTAAGATGTAACAAAAGGCCAAACGGGGAGCAGTAATGAACACCGAGACCGGTGCCAGCATCCCAAACTTCACAGGAATTAATGATAATTCTGTGTAACAGTTGCACTAGTAAAACATGCTCATAATTGCACATGGGTGCTGGCCTGGACTGCAGCGCTATTTGCCACTTAGTGCTATGTTTACACGATAAGCGATGGATCAGACCAGAGGAGGAGTATCTGAATTATTTGCATTGCATTCTGTTTTGTGCTGAATCATGTTCAAGTTTCGTTTTCTGTAAAGGGGTTACCAGAGAGTACACAGCTCAGGCTTCAACTGCCTCCAGAACAACTGGGACCTGCACAAGTATCAATCTCAAAAAAACTTTGTGTAAAAGGATCTGGCTTTAGCTCTGATAAATGTCATTTTATCAGCTGAAATTGTTACCTTCTCCATGCCTCCTTAAAATAAATGAGACCCCAAGTACTCTCATCAGCAGATTAATTTTACAGTCAGTTTTAAGCAAACAAGATGTTCTTTTTGCTGTCTTTAGGAAGAATTTCCTTGTTTTGTGTACTTTTTTTGAACCATGTCATGAAAGAACTACATGTGACATTTTCTTCCCATAACGGTACCTGCTGAAAAAAAAAATCCACCATTAAAAATGGCCCACGCTAACATTTAAATGTTGATAATAATTAGCCTGACATTTGAAATACAGTGGTTGCAGTGTTGTCTTGAAGATGTTCTGCTGAACATTACCTAACTAGCCCCTTTTCATACTTACGTGCTTTCTGTACATTATTCTGTCAGCTCCTGAACAAATAAGACATCAGTTGCTAATGTATTAACATGCAAAAACTACGCTTAAGGGCCAAACACTGCCCCCAATCCACAAAGCGACTCCCATTGATGTCAAGTACTGTTAAGGTTGTGACAACCAGTAAAAGAAGGGAACTGAAAAGTAGGGGATCAATTTTCTCCCTGATCTGCAAGGAATTTATGCAAACGGCTCCCTGCAGAAGAAGGGAATGGGAAAGGCAGCCGGTGTCAAAGGCAGCCAGTGTCATGTGGTGCCATGGGATGGGGACCGCTGGATTCCCCCTGCTCCGACCTATTTGCCACAGCCTCAGCCAAGGCATTGGCGTTAACTTTTTGAGAAACACCCAGCCACTTCAGGTGTGCCAGATGGTCAGGTTGCTGCTCGGATAGCTCCTCCAGCAGAAGAGTAAGGAGCTGCTCAAAGGGGACAATGAATTGGCCAAGTGAGCTCAAAATGGAAGTGTCTATGTCAGTATGAAAATATGTCCTTCTCCTCAACGGCTAACGAATATTTGCCCTCATGTGAAGAGTTGTGTGCTTGTTATGACCTATCTAGGTGCAGACAGCAGTTGGTGGGATAACCAAAGGAGACACCACAGGAGAAGCCTTCAGAGCAGCCTGAAGCCTGGACAAGTCTGAAAACAGAAGAAACTGGTTTCTTCCAGCTGGTTCTTGGACATTTCCAAGCCATGACCATGTATTCCAGCTTGGTGTGTGCAAAGGATTTAGGACAAGAAGACTTACAGATGGGCAAATTCTGTGTGTAGATAACAGAGTACTTTTATGCTTTCTTATTCTCTAGATAACAGAATCCTGTAATGCTCACAACACTGTGCAGCACATTAAGTATAAATGATACGATCTAAGAATGAAGTAATAGCATTTCCATTGCATTTCCTTGCTTTTGTTATTGATAGACTCTAAAGAAAAAAGGCCTTACCTGCTTTTTTCTTTTTTGTATGTTTGTGTATGAT